CGCGAAATATTACCTTGATGCCATGGAAAATCAACCATCAACTGAATTTTCTCTCCCTTCCCATTAAGTACTACCCAGCCGCCTGAATAGTTTCTAACACATTTCGATTTTTTTTTTTTCATTTTTTCTTTTTTGGATAAATACTAATTTTCGTCCCTCAACTTTTTTTATTATTAAGTATGAAAAGTGTACTTTTTTTAATTTTCTGTCAGTTAATTCACTAAGCTTTTATGAATTTGCATATTTTTAATCCCTCAACTTCATTAGAAGTTGAGGGACTAAAATGTGCAGATTTAGATTAAATTTAACAAATTAACTGATGAAAGAACTAAAAGTGTATTTTTTGTAATTAATGGACTAAAAAAATATTAAAAAAAAAGTTAATGAGTGAAAATTATACAAAATCTTAAATTAAAAAACCAAAATTGACATTTAATCTTCTTCTTTTTCACACTATCCCTTAAAAAAAAAAAAAAAAGAGAAAGAAAAAAAAGAATCATGTTCATATCATATCAGAAGGCTTAAATTTGCTTAAGACCAAGCCAAAGAAGAGCATACCCAATTTCTTGTTATCTGATAAAACAACGTACAATAAACCCTTTTTTTTGTGTGTGTGTGTTTTTGTGGTTTACAAATAAGGAAAATGACCTGTTGTATTATATATTAATTTTTCATCTTTCATCATATTTTTTTTCTTGAAATTATTCTACTTTCAGTATTCAGTAATAAAGTCATTTCAGTCACTTTACCTTTTATTCTTTAATTTATTATCTTTTAGTTCCTCTTATGCTCTATGCATAATCACCATTCTACACTTTGATCAATTTTTTATGTTATCAAAATTAAGTAGTCAATAATATATACAAAGAAGCTTCTATCAAATTAAAAAGGTGGACCTTTGTAGAATTTTAATTAGTAAGCGAAGCCTGGACAGATCGAAACAAACAAACAAAGAAAATGACCGAACCAAAGTGCAAGAGAACTTGTTATCTAGGCTTGTCATTGTCACCATTAAGTGTTAACATAATCAGTCCGTAAACCTCACGAAATAATTAGTCCACAAATCTCAATTTAAAAGTTCCTCATAAAAAAATTATTTATTTTACAACTTAAACTATCAATTTTTTAATAAAAACAAAGATTAACTTGACTTATAAACCACAATTATTCTTATTTTTTATTTAAAATTTTAACTTTATTTCACCATTACATCAAATATATATATATATATATTAAAAAATGTACTAATGAGATGAGTTAGAGTCTATAGCGTCCAATATATATACAAGTACGCAATTGAACCTTACTTATGAGTGGTTTTTGGCTAAATCAACTCAAAATTGCAATTTCCTCTAATCATCTCCATCATGAGATTGTGAATAAACAAAAAAGCTAATGTTGACCATAGGTCAAGAAATTAAGAGTGCACACTTTTATTTCACCATGTGAAAATTTAGAAAAGAAGGGTCTACCATGGAAGTCAATGGGGTTTCTGCTTTCTATATGTCTTTTTAAACTTAACTTCTTTTCATGTTATTTTCCAAACAACATGGCAAAACTAAAATATAATATAGAGTGTAGTGGTATTAAAGTGGATGGAGATTCTTTCGTGTTTTTGTGAATATATGTATAGGAAGCTTCCTGTGAACATAACATAATTGGGTCATTCGAAAAACGTGAGACGCGCCTCGAGTACGTCCAACATGAGTCTATAGATTTTCTTCTGTTCTTTAGGAAATGGTGGGTCCCAGTCAACTTATCTTTTTATCCTCAATCATAGTCCTTGCTGTTCTGCACGCTTTGTAAAGTGGTTAATTAGTTGGCTTCATCACCGGAGTTTAATTTAATGTTTAATTTTTTAAAATTTCTTTCCCAATCTTTTTAGTACAGTAAAAGATGGTGTTATATATATAATTTTTTATATTATTTTTTATATAAATTTTATATATTATTAAATAAATATATTTAATATCATTAATTCTACATGAATTAAAAAATTAATTATTTTAATAACAAGTTAAATTGTATAAAAAAATGAAATAAAAAATTATACAAAAATTATTTCTCTATAATAAAAATATTTGTAAAAATTGCCCTTTTCAAAAAAATCATAGTCCCTTGCTCCGAGTAAATATTGTTTTGTTTTTAAAAATAAAAGAGAAAAGCAAAAATTATAATGTTTTAACATTTAAAATATTAAGAATTTTTTATAAAGTTATTTAAATATTTTTAAGAAATTAATTTATATTTAATTAATTTTATATGAAATCTTAATATTTTAACTGATAGAATATCTTTATTTTTTTATAATCTCAAAATATATATAAAAGACAATTAAGATATTTTAAAGTTAGTTTATGTATATTTTAAAATTAATTTCTTTAAATGAAAGAAGCACTTTATATTGGTTGGTTGCATGGTGATTACCACAAGATAGTTCTAAATTTATTAATTGATTTATTTTTTTTAGCAGTTTAGGAATCCTCAAGTCAAATTGTGCATATTTGGAGGGATGCGCACCCTCAATAGTTAATATTATATTTTTTAATATAATTATTTATTATATTA